CTGGTCTTCTCAGTTCAACTACCAGTGGTCTTAGGGGTCCCTTTCGCTTTCTTCTGACCAGTGGAAGTTTGGAATGGCCAGCACAGATTAACTGGAAGTCAGCAGGGTCGAACTGCCTCCTCATTTGTACTAGTCCTGAGAGCTGGCCTGCAGCTAGCTGTAGTTAGTAATTACTGAAGCTAGAGGTAAATAATTATGTCGTCTTAAGCCACTGAAGCTTTTGCTGCTTGAAACTGGGAACTGATTTTCAAAAAAAAATCTCTTGAGTCCAACCACTCCTGATTAGACAGACTGAAAAGCAGTGTGGGCTGGTGGGCAGGTCCAGATTTGGAGTCCAGCATCCCTCCTAACTTGATGGTGCTTGGGTAGACTAGTTTTTCAGACCTCAGCTGTTATGCCTGGATGATGATGATGATAATAGCTGGCTCAGAGCTGTGGAGATAAATGCTCACCTACTTGTTTGATGCTAGTGACACACAGTGTAAGCCTAAATACCTGTTCTTTTTTCTGATTTTTACATATTTCAAGAGCTGAGTAATCAGTGGGGCAACCCCATTTTGTAAAACGGGGAAGTCGAGGCCAGACCATAATGGACATCTTGGTCTCCCCCAGGCCAAAGTCGGATTGGTTGGCCAGAGCCTCCTCAAGAGGTGGCCAAGACGCTGAGGGACTGGACAACGCTTGCTGCTCCTGCTGTCCTTGTACTGGGGTTGCCCTTAAAGATGGCCTCTCCCTGCTGAGCTAGAAATGACAACCCCTGCGTTTTGTCTGCATGCAGACAGTGAACGGTAGTGAGCTGTGGCAGGGGCAGTAACCTGCACGGCCTTCCTCCAGCGACGTCGACAATCCTGAGACAAGTCTTCCTGACGCGTCATTCATGCCGTCAACGCCATTCGGGTCATCCGTCTCCTCCTGCCTCACTGTGCTTTAGCTGTGGAAAGGCTTGGTGACACAGGCCAACAAATATGGCCACCTACCATTTACTTCCCTGAAGCAGAGATTCCAGTTTCACCATCTTTTATTGATACAAAGTCATAGATTTTCCGATGCCCATGAGTCCTTTTAAATACATACACTGACATACATTCGGCACAGGGCATCTGTAGGTGACGTGGAGCAAAGTGCTGGGATGGTGATGCCTGGGGGGCAGAGAAGTGGGGCCAGGGAAGGCCCCCTGGGGGCTGGAGGTACAGGCACCACTTCAGAAACAAAACCAAAAAATGCTCTCCACCCTTCTGCCTGATGTGCTTGGGGTGGGGGGAGCTACCCTCTGCAATGAGCTCAGCCTCATTGCAGCCTGGCTGTGCAGGGAAGGCAGGGCCTGGGGGCCACTTGAGGTCCCCACCAGTGATGCCCACTAGAGCCAAGCCTACTGGTGCCAGCCACAAGGCAAGCCTAGGTCACCTCAGGCCTCTGCAGCCCAAAGCAAGACCCCTGCCAGGGCAGAGCTGAGGCTGGGGAGCCCAAGGCCAAGCCTCCCTGGGGCCATGCCCTCGGTGGCAGGGGAGGCTTGGACTCACAGTGGGGAAGCCTGCCTGATTGTCAGGGCAGTCTTGGGACTAGCCAGGGTCCCAAGGGGTTGGGGAAGGACTAGGAGCTGGTTGCCATGGTCAGCCCTGGTCTTTGATCTTCACACAGTCCTAAACCTTATCCTCAGGCAAGGGCTGCAGATGAACACACTTGTCCAGCAATAAATACATAGACACGATACACAGCAATATATACAGAAATGCAGGCCTGGGACAAGGCTGGGTGAGAAGGCATGGCCAGCAGGAGTAAAGAGAGACGTGCCAGGACCCTGGGGGAGGGAAGTTACACTCATCAGGGCCTGACAGGCTGGGAAGGATCCCATCAGTTCTGAGTCAACTCCTCTGGGCACTTGGGCCCTGTATCCACTCACTGTCTCTCCGTTTTCACCCCAAGTCCATCAGGAACTGGGTCTTTGGCACCAATAGTCACTCAGGGAAGGTCTTCTACTTCGCGCCTTAGAGGGACTGGGCCCTGGGCAGCTCTGCACCTGTGGCCCAGAGGACTAGAGACCAGGACCAGGGGGACAGGCAGGAGGGAGCCAAAGGCAAAGGAGGGAGCCAAACCTTGGAGCAGCAGGCCTTGGGAAGGAGGCAGCGTTTTTTTTCCCTTGAAGCAGTTCCTGAGGGGTTGGCTAAAACTCCACTCTCATGGGACTAGGAAAACGAGCTGCCTTGCTCCTTAGGTGGTCTCTCCTGGCCAGTGAAAGACTGTGGTTCTGGGCAGCCCGCTCCCTCTCCCTCAGAGATCCAGATTCATACGGCATCTCCTTTGTTCCCTGCCAGTGCTGTGGAGAGGCAGCCCAAATAAAGCATGATGAAGCACTCAAGCCAAATGTGCCAAGCCTCCCATGTGCTGGGGCCAGGCTGTATGGCAGGGAGAGGTGGTAGGAACACCAAATGGCCACCACCCATGGGACCTCAACACATGCCTGGGACATCTGGAGCAGGGCCTGCCTTGGTCTGCTCTCTCTCATATTCCTCTTTGCATCTTATTAGGTATGAGATATGGAGGAGGGGGCTCTCCTTTGGGTGAGAGAAGGATGAGGTCTTCCAGGGATGGCTAGGCCCTCCATCCCTGTTCCCCATTCTCAGCCCTCGCTGTATGGTTGCTAAAGTGAACAAATGGAGCATTCCAGCAAACAAAAGCTTCCCGCCCGGCAGCAGGGCTCATCCCCCTGAGGAGAGGCAAAACATAGCATCAAGTTGGTGGGGGGCTGGGAGGCCTGCAAACTTGCCGGTTCTCAGGGCATGCATGAAGGCCGGGGTGTACCAGTCTGCCAGCCCCAGGGGCAGGTGTGCAATGGGACACACTGCAACACATCGTTCCCACCGGCAGGGGCTTGGGCCTGTGCAGCACTCACTCACACACTCAGCTGGAACATACAGGTTGGGGGACTGGGTGGGTTTCCTGGAAACAGCCACACTCATGAAAGGCAAACTTCCCACCAGCAGAAGAGGGGGGTCTTATTCTCTCTGCTGCCCGCAGTGCTGGTGGTGCTCAGGGCAGTTGCATAAATGAATGAATGAATGAACCTACTATCAGAATCAGCCCTGTCAGCACCACCTTTCTCCCACTCTAGCTCACTGTCCGTGCACCCTGATCTCCTTTCCCAGGACTAATGCCAGGCATTCCAGTGGGCACCCGAAGAAATTGCCCAAAGCCTGGTATTCAGGGATGGAGGCTTCCTGGAGCAGAAAAAGTCCCTCAGGAGGGCAGTCTCAGGGCAAGCAAGGACATCCCTTTGTGCTTTGTCCAGGAGACAGAGAGGGCAGCACCTCTGGTCCGGGGGTCACAGGGCACAGGGGCTATAGAGGGTGCAGTTGGCAAGGCAGGACAGACACACTCAGGGCAGCCAGGCCCCGAGTGGGCCTCCACCTCCCTTCCAGACCCCTGGAGGACAGAGAAAAGTTGTGCTTCTCCTTCCCGTGACTCCTGGGGACAGGGCTGGGGAGGTAGGAGCCGATGGAGCCAGCTGCTCAGGGTCGGGGGGGTGGGGGGGCGGTGTGGTAGGGGATGCCACTTCACCAAGGCTTTGTGCAGGACTAGACAGGGAGTTGCCAACATGACACCCTTGATATTTGGGGTCTTCAAAGGGCAGGGCTAGAACAAGCCACAGGAGGAAAAGTCATCACCAATGACAAGAGCTAGGACAGAGCTGGTATGGAAGCAGGGAGCTGGGTGCACTGCTGAGTCTGTGGGGCCCCAGCTCTAGAGGACTCGCAGGGTAACCCAGGGCTGGTCCTGATGTCCAAGCCAGGCTGTGGCAAAAAGCTGGATCCTTGGAAAGGACTGAGAAACTAGAGGACCCCAGGACCAGCAGCCTAACGGTTAGGGCTGAGAGCTGGTCATGTACAGGAGACAAGGAAACCCTAAGATGGATCTAGTTTAATGTTTCAAAGAACTTTCCCAATGAAGGTTGGCAGGACCCATGGCCTCGGTGCCACTGTGAGAGTTCTGAGAGGACGGACTGGGGAGACCTGAGTCTTGGGAGCCTTAGTGCTGGGACCTGGTCCTTTGGGAACCGGGCAAGGGTTGGTGAAAACCTCCACTTGTGTTCTGTGGCTACTAAGCCAAGTGGCTCTGGCTCAGGCCCGGCACTGCCCACAGGCAGAAGACTCCCACCAGAGCCCTCAGAGAGCCAGCAGAGGGCTGCTGAGGAGGGAGGACAAGGACATCTTCCTCGTCCTTGGCCCCACAGGTCTGGCTCCCTACCAAGGGCACATCTTCAAGCAAGTTAGCCAGACAAGGAAGCAAACAAAACTGCCCTCCTCCCAGCCTCCTCCAGGCCCTAGCACAGAGGCAGCCCAGTGGGTCCCTCCCACACAGCCTAGGGGACCCAAAGGCCATCAGAGTCCTGCCTGAGCACCTGGATTAGAAGGACATTCCTTGAGGCAGGAACTGCTTCTCCCTGCTGACAGGGTTTCCCAGGACTAGGCCCCGCCTCCTCCAGAGGCTTGAGACTGTTGGTGGGCATACAGACATGCACCTTTCAGCTCTGAATTAGCTCTGGTGTGTAGTGGGGTATGTGGTGTCTGGGAGGAGGGGTCTTGTCTTTTCTACAGCAATAAAACCTCTCAAGTTTTCTCTACCTGGCAATTTCTCCTCTTGGGAGGGGTGGTCTCAGTGTCCTGGGGAGAAGTTCTGGGTGAATGTTTTGCCCTTCCAAGCCCACTCCCACCACCTCACTGCACACCCGCCCCTCACTTTTGGCTGGCCACATTCCCAGACCCCTAGGCCTATCTGTGTTATCCCTGGAGAAAGTGGACCCAGAGCCCAGGCAAGCTGTCGGAAGGGGGTGCCCCCAGAGGGCTGGGACAGGCCAGGCGGAGGAGAAGAGCCCTCCTTGCCTTGTGGAGCCCCCTCTGGCCTGGGGCCTAGCAGATGCTCCTGACCGGGAGGCAGGGCCTCAGGAAGGGGAGGGCTGCCCAGCAGCCTGAGCAGCCAAGGAGCAACTGGGTAGTTATTGCAGATCCTCCGGGCGGTGACACCAGGTGCTGGTAGTGACTCAGCTCCTCACTGGCTGTGCCCAGAAGGCTGCTTCAGCTGGGGGTGGAGTGGGGGTAGGAGGGCAACTTCTGTCCAAGCCCCTGCCCTGCAGAGGCAGTGCCCAGGGCCAGGCCTGTTGCTCCACTGTCCCAGGAGGAGGACAGGAAGCTGTCAACCCCTCCCTGGGAGCCAGGGATAACACCAGGCCTCTGAAGGTCAAGTCCAAATCAGGGTCCCTCTGGAGGTCCAAAGAGTGCCCTGGTGTGGGGCTGGCAGGGGCCCTGCCGCCCCCTACCCGGGTTAGCAGCCGCCTTCCACTTTGATGTGCAGGATCTTAGAGAAGCCGGGCCTCCGGCGCAGGGCCTGCAGACCAAACCCTGGGTTAGTTTCCCTCAGGGCCAGACAGATGAGGCCCTCCCGTCACACACCCAGGTTACCAGCCCCAGCCTAGGGATGCCACTTGGGATCTTGGGTGGCCTCAGAGTCAACTCCTCACCTGGAGTTTTGTCACCATGTCCTCAAACAGCTTCTGGGCCTCAGGACTGCTGGGCTCTTTGAAATAATCGGCAATCCCAATCTGGACCACAATGGACTTGAGGTTTCGGCAAATGCCTGGGAAAAGGTGGGTAAGATGGAGGCCTGTGTTTGGCCTGGGCAATGGAGCTGCCTCCTCTCCTCTCACTAATTGATGAAATCAGAAACCTACTGAGAGACAATCCTGTGCCAGCCACTGAGAACATAAAGAGGAGAGCAGACCCATGGCACCCAGGGGCTCACACCAGACAAGGGGAGAGGTGGAGGATGAGGTCCAAGAGCAGAGGCTGCAGGGGCTCTGGGAGGATGAGTGGGCAACAGCCAATTGTGCAGCACTCTAGGAACATCTCTGGCAGAGGGGACAGTCGTGTTATGGCCTAGGCATTTGGAAATAAATTACAAGGACAGAGTGGCCGAGGTGAGGCTGATGGGTCTCGTCTGGAGTGTGAGGAGGGCAGACAGGGAGCAAACGAGTTGGAAGCAGAGGCTTAAGCGACTGGATGTTGCCATGAAGTCAGCGGACAAGGAGCAACAAAGTCAGGAGGCTGAGAGGGCCCTGGAGATCTTGATTTTGGAGGCTGAGCAATTAGTTCTGGTGGTCAGTCCAGGGTGGGACCATGAGGCTGAAGGGGAGGGAAGAAGAAGATCCTGGAAATAATAATAAGGTCAAGGAACCTTCAGTGCTCAGGACATAGGGTCTTGCCAGGGGCCAAACAGTCCTGGATGATGGTTTCACTTGGCATGAGCAGCCCAAGCTGGGTACCTGTGTCCTCAGTGGAGGAGGAGGAATGACTGGGAGTGGAGTGGGTAGCTGGGGGTGGGGGTGGGGCGGGGGCAGAGGAGACATGATTTGGAGTCTACACCAGGAAGAGGGGAGTCTTCATCCTAAGAACTGTCCTAGGGGGGCTCACACACTATTTCATTTAATCTTCCTACCCTAGAAAGCCAGCCTAGAAAATGGGGATACACAACTCAGAGAAGTATAGTAACTTGCCCAAAGTCACACAGCTAATAAGCAGTCGAGCCAGAATTGAGACCCAGGTCAGTCCAGCTCCAGAACCCATGCTCTTAACCCGTCTGTTCTCCCTCTGCCCTTGGCTGGAGGCTCACGTAGGGGCAGATGGTGTTTGTTCCACAGCTCATGTCTCCAACGTGGGCAGAGCACAGGGCAATAAATGTCTGTTGAACAGAATCATTTGGACCAGATGTGGCCTTGAATGCCACATTGGCCTCAGAAGGCACTGGTGGCAAAGCCAGGACTAGAACCCTGGTCAGTCTGACCCCAGTGCTGGTGCTTGCTGACTAGGAGCGACAGGACGCTGGTTATGCTCCTTGCTGACAAGGCATGGTAAGAGGTGACAGTTGTACACCACCCCTCATTCCCCACCGCTCACTGTTGAAATGCAGCAGGGCCTTGGGGGTGACGGGGGTGGCTGTGAGCACCAGCATCTCCAGTCCCTTCAGACCTTCCCGGCAGACCTCAGCCGCCACCTCCTGGGTGATCTCCGACACGTGGTCCAGCTCCAGGACCTGCAGCCGCATGCAGTTTCTCGCTAGGCAGAGGGAGGAAGAGGGGAGGTCCTGCTGACAAACTCCCAGGTCACCTCCTGCCCAGTGCCCTGGTGCTCCTGCCACCACCCAGGCTGCAGCCCGAGCCCCTCTGGGATTTCAGTGTTGCACCCATGTCTGCTTCCCACCAACCCCTACTCCAGTCACCCCAGAGGAGAGACTTACCAAGTGATGCCAGGCCCTGCACCCCACAGCCGGCGCCCCCAACCCCCAGGGCCCGGAGGTGGGGCCAACAGCGACCGATCATCTGTAGGCAGCGGTTACTGAAACGCATGGGCTGCTGGCTGGAGAATGGGGTGAAGGGAGGGCCGTCAGGGACGCCTCTGGTTGCATGACACCTCAAGTCTTCTCCTCCTTCAGACCCCTTCCCAGGCAAGGGCCCCACCAACTACCCAGCTGCTCAAGTCAGAAACCTGGGATCATCCTCAACTCCTCCTCCCTCACCGCCTGCCAAGACCTGCAGGTTCTGATTCCTAAATAACTCTTCAACCTGTAGTTCAGACCACCACCAATACTCATCTAGATTATAACTAATCTCCCTGCCAAGTCATTCTCCACACTGACAGTGAGCCATTCATCCCTACATTCTCTCACTCAGTCATTCAACAAATGGTTCTCAAGTGTCTACTACAGCCAAGAACAACTGAGCTAGGCCCTGGGGATACAGTGGTGACTATATAGACATGGTCCCCACTCTCAAGGAGTGGACAGTCATGGGGGAGGGGGACACAGAACATTACCAGTCTGATCTAATCCTGTTTTTAAGATCTAAAATTCCCTAATGGCTTCCCAGCACTTTCTAGATAAAAAGCAAAAATCTGGGGCTGGCCCCGTGGCTTAGCGGTTAAGTGCTTGCGCTCCACTACTGGCGGCCCGGGTTCGGATCCCAGGCGCGCACCGACGTACCGCTTCTCCGGCCATGCTGAGGCCACGTCCCACATACAGCAACTAGAAGGATGTGCAACTGTGACATACAACTATCTACTGGGGCTTTGGGGAAAAAAGGAGGAGGATTGGCAATAGATGTTAGCTCAGAGGCGGTCTTCCTCAGCAAAAAAAAAAAAAGAGGAGGATTAGCACGGATGTTAGCTCAGGGCTGATCTTCCTCACAAAAAAAAAAAAAAAAGCAAAAATCTAAACCCCTTAGGCAAGGCCCTTCCTGACCTTGACCCAACTTTCCTTTGCACACTCATTGCTTGGCCCTGCCCACCACTCACAGCAAACTTGCTGTCTCCCTGAACACTTCATTTCTCCACAAGCGCCCAGGCAGCAGACATCTCTCAGGCGTCTGCCATGCACTTGGTACCAGGGATACGGAAACGGACTTTCACAGCCTCTGCCCTGAGAACCGTGAGTCTAGTGTAGACCGAAATGTAGAGAAATTATTGCAAAATGCACTACAGCAGGGGTCAAGACAAAGTGCAATTGGAATCGGGGCAGGGGAGCGGTGGCCAATTCTACCCGGGTGTTAGTGAAGGGACACTGGACGACCTGGGAGGAGCTGTCACGTGGAGAGAGGGTTTGGAGGGCAAGGTACAGAGAGCGACAAATGCTGGTATGTTTGAGGAACTCCAAGTAGAGCAATGAAGGATCTCACACCCTGGGTTCTCCAACAACCAGCTCTTTTGTGTGTTATACGCTGACCTCCCTGAACCGCCTTTCATATGCCAAACAAGCCCGGCTATTTCTAGCTAGTGTTTACTGAACACTTATGTGGGCCCTGCAGGTTTTCTGTATACATCTCATCTGAGCCAGCAACAGTCCTAGTAAAGTCAACAGATCCCTAGTATCACCTTCACTTTGCAGGTTGAGAAAGGCATGATTGGGTTGCCCAAAGTCACACTGCTTGTCAGCCAGGACATGACCCCAGGGCTGATTTTAGAGCCCTGCTCTTAATGTCTAAATACACAGACTGATGAATGTGAATCTGTCCTCCAACCAGCTTGTGCAATGAGCCCAGATCTGCCCAGTCTTCAGGCCCAGACCCAGCCCAACCCCATCCCCTCCTCACCCCTGCCAGGGCTCACCAGGGGTGAAGTGGCGCGACCTGGAGGGAGACAATCTCTCTGCAGCCTGCGCCCAGGGCCCAAATGACCTCGTGGCCCACAGGGTCTGTGGCACTCCTGTTGAAAAGACAAAGCTGGGGCTGCTCACCCTGGTGGCCTCTACTCCCTTCTCCGGGCCACAGAGCTCTTGGGTTCCTTTGTCTGAGAGCCCTGGGGGAAGGGTATGCAGAGCCCAGGGATCCTTGGGGCCTGAGGCCAAAAGGGTATGGGCCTTCGTCAGGTGGCGTGGACCCACCTGTAGGTGACGGCCTGCAGGGCACGGCAGTAGCAGCTGGCCAGCCAGAGTGAGCGGTCGGTGAGGATGTTGGGACAGTGAGAGATGCGCAGGATCAGCAGGTTGCCCCCCGCCGCCTTCAACAGGGACTCCAGCCCTGCTTCCAGGCAGCCCCTGGGGATGGCCAAGAAGTCATGGAGCTGCTTGTGGCCACCTCCTCCTCTGAGAAGCATCACCACATAATTCTGGGTCTGCGGCCCAGGAGCACCCAACCACCCGCCTACCACGGCCTCACCGGGTGCTCCGGGCATACTCCTCCTTGCTCTCCTTCTTGCCCCGCTGCCGGGGCTTCAGGTTCTGAAGTGTCAGCGAGTGGGCCTGGGTGCACCACTGAGCCAGCATTGCCAGGAACTGCAGGGAGAGAGGGGTTACCTGGGATGAAGGGCTCTGAGATTGGCTGGCTGGAGGTGGACCAGCCTCAGGATAGGAAGCCCCAAGAGAGCATTTCGGGGAGCCAGGCTGGAGCTGGGTTCTCAGCAGGGGTGAGTGGGAGGGCAGGGACAGGCACCTTGGAACAGACGCGGGCATTCTCCAGCAACACTCGGGTCCAGACGGCGGGGTGGCGGGCCACGAAGCGCCAGTCCCGGCAGACCTCGGCGGCATGCAGCAGCGTGCGCGTGTCCAGGTAGGTGAAGATGCAGAACAGGGCGGCTCGCATCTTGAGGATCTCCGGGCTGATGACCTCGTTGGAGCGTGAGGGGCTGCCCCTCTCAGCTCGCCGACCCCGCCCACTGCCTCCCTCAGGGCGGGCTGCACAATACCAGAGGGTCAAAGGTGAGTGTGGAGGGTGCGATGTGGAATGCGTGGGGATGCAAGTGGGGAGCTGCGGTAGAGTAGGAGCTGCAGGAGACCCAAGCTAGGGGACCAGCAACTTGGGAGAAGGACAAGGGGCCTCTGCTTCCCCCTCCTCTGCATCACCCCCATCCCTAACCTTGCAAATTAGAAAAAGGTATCCTTTCCTCAAGTAAACTTTCTTTTTAAGATCATATATCATCACATAGCCCAAACTCATGCCCTACATGAGGCAACTGAGTCAAGTTTGGAGAAGGAAACGGTTTGGAGGACCAGGGTATGGATGGACAGAAAGTGGGCCTCTGTGAACAGAAGGCAGGCAAGAGGCTGCCCAGAGCAGCCACATGGGGTGCCGCCAATACCCTGACCCAAACCTTCTAACCTCTTGACCCTGACCCACCCACATATGCACCTGGCCTTGCGTGTATACGGGAGGGGGCTCTCCCCAATGCTCCAGGGACATCGGAGCCCGGAGTCAACACTCAGCTACTCTCCTGTAAATGTCAATGAGCCTACCATGCGAACAGATCCCCTTAGATGTGGCATCCTTGTGCAATACCCAACCTGAGCAGCTCAGGCGTGCAGGGCGCTGTGTAGGAGGGAGTCTGTCGTTCTCATTGTGGGAAAGTCTGGGGCAAGGGGAAAAGAGGTGCAGGAGCCCGGGAGATTTACCGCCTCGACCCTGTGTCCCCTGAGAGGGCCCAGCACCACGGAAAGACTGGCTCCCTGCCCACCCTCCCAGGACTCACTTGAGAGCCGGCAGCTGCTCAACGGCCCAGCCATTGCAGGCCCAGGACGGGGGACATCCGAGGGGCCCTCAGCCTCTGACTCAGTCGTTCGGGAGCCCACGTCCGAGATGTCCCCCTCCTCCCCCTCCGTGCTGTGTCGACGGGGTCTGCGCTGCCAATTCTGGATGGCCTGGCGCCGCAGGCCTGAGCTGCGAGGGAGCTGGGCCCTCTCTGAGCCGCCGTTGGCAGCCTGGGCCCGTGTGCCCAAGCCCCCAGGGCCGCTGTCCTCAGGGGTCCCCTCTTCTGGCCGGGGCAGCTCCAGACTGTCACTGTCATAGCAGCCTGAGCTCTGGGAGGCAGCTGGGACGCGGCTGGAGGCCCTGAGGTGGGGTGGATCAGATGGTGAGGAGTGAGGGGCACCAGGCCTGCTCAGACCCCCCATCCCACCCGCACCACCAGCCAAGGGCAACCCACCCACCTTACTTTCCAATAGACCCCTCTGAGTGTGAAGAGGCAGAGAGAAGTGACCCAAGGAGGATGGGGGGAGGAGGAGGAGCCAAGCCCCTAGACAGGCCAGCCATCCAGTGGGCCAGTGGATCTTTCCAGAGTGAGAGTGGGCTGCGTGGGGTGGGCTGGGCCCGAGGCTTACCCTGTGCTGGGAGAGGAACCATGCCGTGACACCGCGTACGTACTAGGCATGGCTGGGCCCGCGTGGTGTTCTCGCTGTGGGCCCCCCAAGCGGGAGGGAAAGGGAGGGGGGCAGAGGAGGCAAGAGGATGGGAAGGAGCAGAGAAACAGGGCACAAGATGGAGAAGAGAGAAGAAAAAAGTTGGGAAAGATGGACAAATAGACAGACAGATAGCCAGAGAGGCAGGCTCACCAGCCCCCTCCCCATACCCACCCAGCACCCCAGGCCCCGGCTTGTGGCTCCTGGGCTGTCATTTGCAGGGTGGGCAGAGAAGGGCCCCTGAGGACTGGGGCCACTGGACCACACCTCGCTACAGCCTCAGGGGCTGGCACTTCTGCCTAACCAGAGGGGATCCCTGGTTCCTGGACCCCTACTACAGGCCTGGAATCTGCTCATGGGGGAAAAGCCAAAGAAGGGAAGCATGGAGCATCACAGGGGGGATGTCAGGCTGTGGGTGAGGGGACGTGGTGGGGGGCTAGGTATGCAGGTGAGGGAAGGAAGGCGGGTGAGCACTCACCATTCTGCCTGGCCCCCGGGTGCCAGGCCCAGCGCCACCTGCCCCACCTCCACGGCCCAGGCTGGCGCTAGGTGTGCTGCCACAGCTGCTGCTGATGACCTGCAGCTGCCGCTCGGCACGGTCAGCACGCTCAAGGAGCTCCTCAATGAACTGCTGCAGCCGCAGCTTGGCGCTGGCTTCCCGTGCCGCTGTCTCCTTCAGGAACTGGTCGATCTGCACCACCTCCCTGGGCCCAGAGCAGTCTCTTACCCCAGTGCCTTGGCCTGGCCGCCCACCCACCCTCTGGAGGAGACCTTGGCCAGTGGGGAGAGACATAGGCACAGCTGCCCATGGCGTCCACTCATGGTCACATGGGTACATGCAGAACAGGCCCAGGCACACTGCCTCACACAATGGCACAAAAAGAAATGCAAGCATACACTCCCAGTCACACTCACACCTCACCCACCCAGCCCTCTCCCACACAGACACCCCTGCTCTCCACGGAAATACTCATAGGCATACTCAGTCACACCCAGCCACCTCCTCCCTCCAGAAACACTCATGGGTACACACTCACAGTCACACAGCCACGTACACGTAGCCCAGTACGCAGCCTCAAACACTCATGTACACGTACTCATATCATGTTCATTCGCAGGCACACACTCACAGTCTGAGACACGCACGGTACCACCAACACACACACACACACACACTCTCTCAGAAATATTCTCCGATGCAGAAGCATACTTACAGTCACACCAAACTCCAGGATTTGCATGTACACACCGCACACTTAAGAGTCACGTGAGTATTTACTCCCAAATGCATTCACAGTTGTCATGCATCCACTCAACATTTATGGCGCATCTTCTAGGGGCCAGCACTGTTCTAGGTATTGGAGACACAGCAGTGAACAAAGCAGAGGAAAATTCCTGCCCCCATGGAGCTTATATTACTACGGGAACAGATACATAACATCCATATATTTCATAACCCCACAATTAAAGAATAGAGAAATGAGGAGAAGCCAGCAAAGAAGACTGAGAAAAAGCAAAAATAACATAGAAGGAAATCCCAGGAGAGCGTCCTGGAAGCCAAGTGAAGAAAGAGTTTCAAGGACCAGCTCTGTGAAACGCTGCTGACGGGCCAAGTAAGACGTCGGCTTAGCCTCAGCAACATGCAAGTTGCTGGTGACAGGCAGGGCAGTGGTGGAGGTGGAGACCTGATCAGAGTGGGTTCCAGAGAGAAAGTGGAGAAAGAAATTGGAGACAAGGAGCATAAACAATACTCCCCAGGAGCTGTTCTGTAAGGAGGAGAGAAGAGGCAGATGGGAAAAATGACATTATGTTTGTATGCTTTTAGGAATGACACAGTACAGAGGGAAAATCTGATGAGGGCAAAGGGAGAGGGGAGAATTTAGAGGATCTGGTGCCATAATGAGGGGCTGGCCTTGGCTAAGATAGAGAAGGAAGAGAAATAATTTTCACAGACAGGGAAACGGTCATAACGCCACGGACTCATAGTCCCAAACACACACTGTCATGACACTCTTGGCCCCACACGCACCACCATGACATGCTCGTGGCCACAGATCCCATATTACAAAGACATGGACGCATACACAGACACACTCACAGCCACACTCACGGTGGTGGCGGCAGCACAGTGACACACACGGTCACCCACTCTGCAACATTCACGGGCACACCCACCCACACGGCCCTGTGGGCCACTCACTGCTGCTTGCGGCTCAGCTCCTGTTCCTTGTGCACCAGGTCCTGCTTAAGCGAGGCCAGCAGCTCCACACTCACGTCCACCTGGCGCGAGAGCTCGGACGCGCGCTCCTCCAGCTCCTCCTTCTCGCGCCCCAGCCGCGCGCTCTCTTGCCGCGCCGTCTCCAGCTCCGCCGCCTTGCGCTCCAGCTCTGCCTGCAGCCGGCCCACCTGGCCCGCGATCTTCTGCTCCACCTCTTCGCTCAGCCGCTCCAGCCGCCGGTCCACCTCCAGCTTCTCCAGCGCACGGATCTTGAGGCGCGCCAGACCCTCCTCGTAAGCCACATCTGCGGGCGAGGGCGACGCAGGCGAGGCGGAGGCGGGCCCGGAGCAAGCGCCGGGGCCGGGCCCGGGCGGCGGCGTCGAGCACGCCGAGGAGGCCACGGACTTGCGGGCGAACAGCTCCCCCAGCGGGATCTCGATCTCGCGCAGCGCGTAGCGCGCGGCGGCAGCGGGCACAAGGCCCGGCTCAGCCAGCTCCTCGCAGGGCAGGCTGGCGGGCACCAGGTCGCTGGGGAAGTGGGCGAGGGGTGCGTGGTGGTGATGGTGGTGCAGGAGGTGTGGCGCTGCGGGCGACGGCCCGGCCGCCTGCTCCTTGCCCTGGAAGGACGTGCTCTCGAAGACCTCGCGCCGGGCGCCGGGCACGGCCAGCAGGGCGGCGGGCTCGGGCGCCAGCTGGAAGCCCGAGGCGGCGGCGGCCGCGGCCGCGGCTGCAGCGCCGTCGCAGATGCTGTTGGTCTTGGAGAGGATGTAGAGCGTCTCGTACGTGTGGCTGTACTCCAGGTGCGCGCGCAGCGACGACAGGCTCCGGAAGCGTTTGTGCTCCCCGCAGCGGGGGCAGCGGTACGGCAGGTCCAGCGAGGCCATGGCCCCGCCGCCCCCGCGGCGCCCGGGCTCCACCGCGGCCGCCCCGCCGGTCAGCCCGGCGCGCTCATGGGGGGCCGCGGGCGAGCCCCCCTTGGGGGTCAGGAAGGCTCAGGGTGCCCGCGGCCAGGAAGCTAGAAGAGAGGCAGTAAATCTTAGAAGGGTGGTATCCCTGCTCCCCCTCCCTCAACCCGGTATCCACCACCCGTGAGGAAACTGACTTGCCCAGGAAACAGGTGCCCAGAATGGAGGGGGGAGAGGACACCAATAGCCTGACCTCCCAGAGGGGGCTGGCCACTCTGGTACCTGTGCGAGGGCCTGTACATGTAAGAGAGTGAGAATGAATGAGATTTCCTTAAGGAAAAAAAAAAGGTATCTGTTTTATTTATGATAGTTCCAACCTGGACATAACCTAAGTGCCCATCACCAGTAGAATAGATAAATTGTGGTATATTCATAATGGAATTTTACCCAGCAATAAGAGAAGGAACTCCTTGTATACGCAACGATATGGATGAATCCATTCAATATTATGTTACACGAAAGAAACCAGACCAAAGAGTGCATACTGTAGGACTCCATATATAGAGAGTTCAAGAACAGACTAAATTGATGATGACAGAAGTCAGAATAGAGGTTGTCTCTGGGGGCTATCTGGACTGGGAGGGGGCAAGAGGGAACCTTATATGATGCTGAAAATGTTCTATATCTTGGTATGAGTGGTGGTTATATCGGTGTATACATATGTAAACAATCAAGCTGTACACTTAAGATTAGTGTACTATATGTACTTGGCTGTAAAATCCTTAAAAGAAGATGCTATTTCCATATCATTCAAACCACATCTATCAGACAGGCTGGACTACTGGTACCATGTTTCAGTGACCAAGATGTCACCTCACCTGATGATACCTATGTGTACGTCACTGTTTGTTCCTGTCCCTGCTTCTGTACCACACCCTCTCATCCCTGCCACTCCAGCCACCTAGGTCTTTTTCTCAGAATTCTTTGCTAGGTCAGTCTCCAATAAGTGCCCCTGCCCTGCTCTTTGCTCCCAGAGTCATGATATTTGTTCTCTCCAGGCCCCTTCTGGCACAAGCCACCACCCTTCCTGGCATCCCACCCCTGGTCACCCTCAACTCCCGCTGCCCATCCCCCCTCGTCTCTGGCTTCCAGTCACCACTCCCCTGCCTCGTGGGATCTCTAGTCCATTCCTCACTGCCATCCTCTCCCTAACTGCTATTTAATTGGGCTTCAACCACCCTCTGCTGTCACCGTCCTCCTCCAGGTCACAGACCATCTGCTAATTAGACAATCCAGTTGTCATCAAGGGTCTTCACCCACTTTGTCCCTTGGCCAATACTGCTGACTTCTCTGTTTTCATAGGCTGCCATGAAGCTGCCCTGTTGGGATTCTCCAACCTCCTCCTCTTGCTGCCTTCTTAATCTTCCTGTCTCCTGATGGGAGGTCTGCCTTCACCACCCTCTTTGCCTCTGTCTTCTGCCCAGGCAGTCTGGTTCACTCCCACAGGTTCACTCCCATCTTTAAACCATTGACTCTCAGCTCCACCTCTCCATCCTGACCTGCTCTTGAGTTCTGTTTGCTTTCTAGCATTTCCACATGGATGTATGGGTGGATGTCTGTTCCCTTTGCCAGCCCAGCACCCAGTCCTCCTCCTACTAACAGCACCCTGCTTTGATCTTGGGGAACCATCCTTCCCACTTTCTCAGTCCATGTGGTCTGGGGGATTGATTGTCCACCTCTGGCTCCAGGGGTAAGAATGTGAAGTAGGCCTGGCTGATCAGAGTCCCGGGAATGGGTACACATCACCCAAGTTGAGCCAATGAGTCTTTTCTCATTGAGTCAATGAGTCATTTCTCCCAGACTTTTCTAGAACTACTGGGGGAATGCATCCTCTCTGCTCAGCTTTCTAAGCTGATGGGGAGGGCCAGAGCTGCTAGGGCCATCTTTGTCTCCTTTGGGAGGAACCACCTAAGAATGAAGCCAACACAGAAAAGCAGAACTGAGATGGAGAAAGAGATTCCTCACAGACACTGTTTGAGATCCTGGTCTGTTCAATTATGTGAGCTAGTCAAGTCCCTTTTTTGCTTAAGCTAGTTGGAATTGGGTCTGTGTTACTTACACCAGGAAAAAGTCCTAACCCAGAAATTAGAATCAGAAATGGATTTTTTTTTCAAATAATAGACCCTAAGAAGGAATTAGCTGAACTAAGGGGAGGAGTAAGACAGTACCACTTCCCCCACTCCAAAGTTGGTGAACCCCGCTACACAGCAGCAAAGCAGCTAAGTAAACTCTGCCACCACCTCTGGAGCTCAGACAATGTTCCTACAAAGCTGGAACTTTAGGCGACTTGTAGAAAAATGTCAAGATGTTGGGGCGTGGCCTTTCCCAAGGCCTCAGGTCCAACAAGAAAGAGACACAGGCTGGCTGAAAGGGGCCCATCTGAAAGCAGAGTGGAAGAAAATGCTGCTTTGCCCAGAGAGGCCCTTTCTGCCTGAGGCCAGTAATGCAATATGGCTGAGAGTCAGATAATTAAGAGCCAGTTCTCTGCTTCTAGCTAAAGTCAGCTCAAGCAAAGACAGGGAGGCTGGAAACACAGAAGGAGACAAACCTGGGGCCTGACAGGCTCTTGACTCCTCAGGCCCTCCTGCTGTGCCCTCCCAGCTTGACCGAGGTTCCAGTGGGATGCAGCTTGAGTGGGAAGGGGCAAATGAGCTCTGTCTCCCAACCTAGATGAGGAGTTTGCATCGCCCTGAGGCAGAGGCCCAGCTAGAGGCCACAGAACCATGGGCTTCTGCAACAGGCAGAGCACCAAGGCCTGTTGCTAAGAGACATCCCTCCCTCCTCCCCCAACACCACCACCAGGGACTCGATCCAAGAATTATAACTTTCAATGAGGTCTCTAGTTTGGTTAATAGCTCTGGGGATGACTGAATGCAAATTGACTGAAAGCCTCCGAATGATTAAGGGAATTGTATTGCCGAAAAAAACCGCAAACCTGGAAAACAAAGGCCGGGGATTACTCAGCCCCTGAAGTTCCCACCCCCTAAAAACTGCACCAATGGTAGGTGACCCCCTCAATGCCCCTTCTGTATGTGGCCACAGGGCATGAAGAACAAAGAAGGCTCTCCAAGACAGCAGAACCAGAGTGGCCCATTGGTGGCCAGGGAACCTCGTCCTTGCCCACTGGTCGAGCATGTGGACCATGCTATGGACCGGTGAGCACTGAGTGTTTTTCCTCATCTCCCCTCTTCAGCTGGGAGGGTTTTTGTGCTTTCAGCTATCGGATTTTTCCTCCATCTTTGTAGTCTGGCCATAAATTGAAAGACCATGAGGGACTGGCTCAGTACTTGACAAACAGCCCATCACCAAGATCTTGCATTGGGGCTGGGCATAGGAAGTGAGTGAGAACTGGGAACGTCTCTGTCCGGAGATGGGACAAGTATGTCTTAAGTTTTGTGAGGGATAGTTGCATTATGATAAAAAGAAAATTTTTAAAAATTATACCAGAAGGAGTATTTGTGTAGATCTTGGACAGCCGAGAGGTGGGATGTAGTGGATATGTATTGTTTTTGCTGCTCAGCTCCAGTCCCCCTTTGTAGATAGACCCCAATTTTCCAATGTAGAACCATTCCCCCCACTCTGATCCAATGTTGTTTAGGTGGGCTGACTCTACCCTCTAGCTCCAGGGGAGCGCCCGGGACCTCAGCCTGTTCATCAGGACACTGATCGTTCAGGAATGGGCCAATTCAGCAACTGCAGGACCTGTGCTCAGCTGGTCGAATGTGAACCTGGAGCTGCTTGTGGTCATTTCTGTCCTCTCTTTGGGCATGAAGAAAAAGACTCCTGATGACATCTCTTGAGCATCCAGATCCAGATGTGCCTGAAACTTTAACCCAGGACTTGCCAATTGTGTGAAGCAGCTAATTCTTTTTGTGGCTTAAATCATTTGAGTGGGTTGCCAGTCACTAGTAATGAGACTCGGCCTAACACAAAGACCCACAGTGTCAAGAAACCAACCTTGGACTTCCCCTCGCCCACTCCCCAGCATCCCTGTTTCCCTCAATGGTGCCACTGTCCCCCCAGTCACACCACACCACTGGCCATCTTGATTTCGCTCTCTCTGCTAACCATCAAGACCTGCCGATTTTTCCTCGAATGCTTTCAACCTAGCTGTCCTCTTCTCCTGCTTTGTGCTCTTCCTCACACCTGGACTGCTGCTCAGCCCTCGGTCTCACAGCTCCATTCCATCCTACATAAGGCACCAGGTTCCTCTGTCCATAGGTGACTTCTGCTCAGGCTCCTTCAGTGGCTCCCCATCGCCCGTCAACTGCAGCCCAACTCCCCAGCTTCACGCTGTCGCCTCACCACACTCCTGCCGATTCGAAAGTGAAAAATGGCCTGGCTGTTTCACTTGCATTTCTTTGATTACTACGGCTGGACATTTTTCCACACGTTTATCAGTCAGCTGTATCTCTTTGGTGCCTTGTCTGTGCACTACTTTGCACATTGTCATACTGAACATTCATATTTTCTTATTGATTTGCAAAGGCTTTTTATAATATTGATCCTTGGTCATTTATATACTACACATATTCTTCTCAAGCGTGTTAACTGGCTTTTACTTTTGTTTAAGGTCTTTACTGATATACTAAAGCTTTCAAGTTTGCTTCAGTAAAATCTTTAGGATTTCTGATTTTGTTGTTATCCTTAGGAAGTTCGTCCCTATCCAAAGATGACATAAACAGTTATATATGTTTTACTTTAGTACTTTGTGGTTTCCTTTTTTAAAAAAAAAATCCAGAACTTTTTTTTTTTTTTAATTAAGGGCTTTGGACAAATAGCCATAATACCATAAACTGACAATGACTTGGTAGCAGGTACATACTTTAGGCTGTGTGGTCTCCTTTTATACACTGGAGTTTTAATCCATCTACAAATTTTTGGTATGCATGGTGAGATAAAGATTAAAAAAACAGCTTTTTGTTATGGACATTTTCACACATATTCAAATAGA